AAGTAATAACTAACTAATACTACTACTAATACTGTATACTCTCTCTCTCTCTCTCTCTCTCTCTCTCTCTCTCTCTCTCTAATAGAGTTCAATACACTGGAAAAAAATATTAGCAATAATTATATGAAAATAAAAATCATGTGAGACATAAAACATACTTAAAAAAAATATCTTTAATGTCTTATATATATATATATATATATATATATTAATACAGTATAGAAATTTCCCTATTTTTTAAAAACAAAAACATTGTTATATTTAATAGGAGAGATAGTATTAGATGGAAAAAACAATATTTTTTTTTCTTATTATAAGTGCACTGATAATAATGTTCAACAATAACAACCAAATACTACTACTACTACTATTACAACAAAAAACAATATATCGATTATTAAATTATAGACTAATTTTTGTTTTAAATGGCATTAAAAAATATTAATGTTGAGTATGTATGTAAAAAATATTATTACTAACATATAGAGAGATAGATAATGAACAAAAAAAATTATGTGATAAAATGTTATTATAATTTGTTATTTAACAAAATAAAAATCAATTTGCTAAAGCAAATAATCATTGTGTATATATACACATATATATTAATAGTATAATAAAAATTAATAAACATATTAAACATTTAAATAAATATTATTTAATATCTCTATATCTATATATAAATATAAAAAATATAAAACAATAATCAAATGATAACAATATATATATACTGTATTTTTCATTGTCATAAATAATACAAAAAAATATATGCTATAAATATGATATATTTTATTTGAATATTGAATAAACAATGACTGGCAATGACTGATAAATAAATAAATAATATTATACTAAATATACAGATTTATATAATAAATAATATATTTATTTATTTAAGTTACTACTCATCATTGTATGATTTTTTGATGTTTAAATAGCAAATATCATACTGTATTGATAATATAATATTAAATTTATAAAACTTATATGATATATATATATTAATATATAGTACAACAACAACAAACTAGTAGTCATATTATCTCAAATGAAAAAAAGTTTTTATTTATAATAATTTTTATTAAATATAAATATTTGAGAGAGAGAGAGAGATAAGTATGAAAAAAACTGTCAATTTATTTTTTTGATAGATAAATTTTGAAACCATATCAATATATATTTAATATATAGTGATAATATAGTTAGATAATATATAGCTAATCGATAAATATCGACAAATCATTTTGGTGTTATACTACATATGGACTCAATTGACAATATGATTGGAAAAATGGTAATATCTTTTTTTTTTTATATATATTTGATATAATAATACTACATATATAGTACAGTACAAAATGCTATTTAGAGGAAAGCGGGTGAGTGTTTGTGTGAAAGAGAGAGAGAGAGAGAGAAAAATTTATAATATATATATTGAGTGTCATTGCAAACGTCGATCACAATCTATGATATTATGAAGTATTAAATAAATAACTAAAATTGAGACAAACTTTTTGTGATATCTCTCTCTCTCTCTCTCTTATATATACACAGTATATATCTTATCTATTAATTCAGTCAATAGACTATTTCATACCCATATAATATATGTATGAATCATAGACAATATATATACATATATTTAGTTAAGTTAAGTAAAGCAAAAAAAAAAAAAAAATACAGTAACAGTTATTATATAAGTATTTTTTTTTATTAACATAAGTTAAAGTACAGTATATTGAGATAACAACCAAATCGACAACATTTGTCTCTAACGCTTATTAATAATAATAATAAAATCTCTCTCTCTCTCTCTCTCTCTCTCTCTCTCTCTCTCTGATTAAATATGAATATAAATATGGTATAAATAGGATAATTATATTATATAACACACACACACATATATATATATATATATGATATGATTTTTTTATATTGATATTTGAAGACAAACTTCAAACGACAAGTTTAATATCAAATAAAACATTTTTTTAAACCGTTTTTTCTTATTTATGATAACAACTTAATTTCAAAGTTGACAATCAAATCAATATTCAACAGTCATTTATATCTACAGTAATATACACAACGCCCCAGTAATATACAGCAACAAACAAACAACAAACAAAAATATATATTATTATTAAATTAAATTTAATATATATATATATATATTAATGTCATTAAGTATGTCTTTCTCAACATTACAAACAACAATACTAATGATGATAATAATAATAATAATACGACAAACTAATTGCATATTTAAAAAAAAAACTTGAATTAATAAAGCAATTATTATATCACAAACACATTAATAGAGATATTATATATAAATGTTTTTTTTTAAAAGCAAACAAACAAAAAACAATTACACAATGTTTTATATCAATTATACCCACCAAACACTTAAGTGAAATTAATTTTCTTGTTTTTTTTGAAATCACATTTTTTACTAAATATAAAAAACAATAGCTTTATAAATCAGTGAAAACTATATATATATTTTTTGTTAAAAATACCACCCCTTCATCCCCCACCACAAACAATACACTTTTAAAATCATTGTCAAAATGGTTTACCGGTTGACAGTTAGTTAGTTAGTTAGCTGTTTGACAGGTGTTTAACCGGATATAAACAATAATAATAATAATATAATAATAATAACCGAAAATATATTATACTTTCATTACAACTATTAAGTATAAGTTTAGATTACTAGTTAACAACAAAAAAAGTTTATTTATCTTAAAATTTTTTTAAAAAGTTTTTAAAATAACATATTATTCAATATTCATACAATAATAATAATAATAATATCTATGGTTATCTAAATTAGTGATGACATTCAATTTATTTATATATAAATTTAATTAACAATAAAAACCTATTTAAATATATATATATGTATATAGTAATAAAATTAGATCCACTAATGTCAACAAAAAACAATAACAACAATTATAATCATATGAATGATTGCTACCAAAACTAATTTATATAATAAATTAATCAATTATTAGTTAGCTATTCAATATCGCTTATGAGATAAATAAAAGTTTTTTTTGTTTCAAAAAAAAAAACTACTAATAACATAAATGTCACTAAAATTATCTATTTTTAACTAACAATAAAAGATATCATTATTTTATTTTATTACTTCAATCATCCAAAATACTTGTCCACAAATAATAAATAAGTTTTGACCACAAAATAAAAACACATATTTTTGTTTGTCAATCAAATCAATCATTTACTATCAATAATATGATATTTAATTCAATAACAAAAAATAAACTAATAAAACATGTGATTATTATGTATAATCAATACATGTTATCGTAATTGCTAATTAAATACATAAAAATAGTTATCATATAATAATAATAATACTAATAATAATCGGTTGCCTTACCGTTGCGTTGATCGACGGCTGGGCGGCGTAACCGGCATTAGCGGCAGCCGCCGCTGCGTACGGGTTGATAGCGGCAGCTGCCGCTGCGGCCGCAAATGCCGGCGTATATCGGAGATACGGGTTGACATTCATACAGGCGGCCGATGCCTGGAGTCGGGCATTGATATACGGCTGAATCATGGCTGCAGTGGCCGCTGCCTGGGCTTGCATTGCCGATTGCTTGTTGTTGGCCGCATTGGCAGCCGCCTGAGCCGACTGTTGTTTGTTGTTGCTGTTGGACTTATTGCCACCGCCGCCGCCGCCGCCTCCACCACCACCACCGGAGTTGGCCACCCGATTGTTGGTCACGGTTTTGCCATTGCTCGGCATGGTTTTTGTTTAATAATAATAATAATATCGGTAATCGCTGGTCGCGTCGGAGGGGGTGTGTCTTGTGTATCGGCAAGAGATCAAACCAATGAGTGGCCAATTGATTGTGTGGTCACCGACGGGTCGTTATTATTAAAAAAAAATTATAATCAAAAATCTAAACAAAAGTTTTTTTGTTGTTATTATTTTGTTGTGAATCACAAATCAGATGACACACTAAATAACTAACTAAATGGCGATAAATATTATTATTAATTAATTAATTAATTATTAGTTATTATTAACTAATTATTAACTAATTTATAACTACAAAAAAAATTATGTCATATATTATTACACACATAAACACAATCACACAAAAAAGTCTCCGGTTTTTAATAATAATAATAATAACATTAAAAAAAACTATTTAATTAATTACTACTAATAATAATAATAATGTTATTGTTGTTATGTTTTATTAAATAATAATAATAATAATAATAATAATAACATTATTTTTATAATAATAATAATAATAACATCATTACTATTACAATACAAAATACATTTACATTTATATACTATTATTTCATATATTTTTTTTCTATTACTAGTATTTTATTATTTGGTTTCAAAAGTGATTATCGATATATCGATGTATTTTTATTTATTTAGTTAGACAATCATCGATAGTATCGATAATAACTAACTAACAAACAATAAAATTCACAACAAAAACACATAAAGCCATCGAAACTAATCGATTGTCGATTTTATTTATATATTAATACTGTATAATAGTATCGATAGGTCTATACATAGATTACGTTATATTTAGTACAATACATATACACACAATAGTGTGTAAAATACACTCATAAGTGTATATTTAGATAAACATATATAACGTTACTATTTAACTATGATTTTTTGATACCCTATTATTTATGTGGATATCATTTATTATATAGTAATAGTGTAGACCAACACTATAGACACCCCCCCCCAAACACATACACACACACACACACCAAAAATGTCTAAAACTATATGTTAGTGTGTGTTTGGCAATCATATACAGTAATAGTTGACATTTGAATTGACAGTTCAATAATTGTTGACTTGTTTTTGTGTTGTTTGGTTTGGTTTCTACTGTATATTAATATAATAGAGCCCTCTATGGTCACCAAATGTATAGAAACTTTAAACACATTTTTGTTTATTTACTGTATTTAACGTAATAAATAAAACAAATCAAAAAAAATTTGTTTATTATTTAATTATATATTTTTGTTGTTTATTGACCGCTAGTGTCTGTGCGGTGACCACTATATTATAGCCGCTGCCAATTGATAACTTAATTTCTAGTGGACAACACATCATCCAATACCCGACCTGACCTGACCCGACCCGACGCGTGAAATATGTCTGAAAGAAAAGTATTGAATGTAAGTATCGGTAAATTTTTTTTAAGTACACCCGATAGCAGTGGTCACACACACGGCATCTCTACCCCCACCTCCCACTCCCCCACCCCCACTAAAACATTTATCAATTATAATAATTGTCTCATTTTTTCCCCATTTTTTGACCAGAAATACTATCCGCCGGACTTTGATCCGTCAAAGATACCGCGTCTACGGCTGCCGAAGACACGCCAATACACTGTCCGATTGATGGCGCCGTGCAATATGCGATGCAATACGTGCGGCGATTATATAGCCAAAGGCAAGAAGTTTAACGCACGCAAAGAGACCGTCGACGACGAAAGTTATTTGGGACTAAAAGTTTTCCGCTTTTATTTCAAGTGTCCGCGATGTATGGCCGAAATTACGTTCAAAACCGATCCGAAAAGTATGGACTACGAGGTCGAGCACGGGGCTACACCTAATTTTAAGGCCTTGAAGTTGGCCGAACAACAGGCCCGACAGGAAGAAAAGGATAGGGAGGAAGAGGAACGACTGAATCCGATGAAATTGTTGGAAAACAGGACTAAACAGTCGAGACGTGAAATGGAAAACTTGGAAGCGCTGGAAGATCTTAAAGAGTTGAATCAACGAAATCGTGAGTTTGCACCGATGATCAACAATGATGGCTACGATGACCAGACAACAGCGGCGGCGGCGGCGGCCAATAATCAGCCGCAACTAACTGCTGAACAGTTGCAGAAACTGATGGACAGCCAGATTGACGACGAAGAGCGCCAACTGTTGCGTCAGTTTAGAGGCGAAGATATTGATGACGACGACGACGATGTTGTTGTTGAAGACGATGACAATGACGACGACAACGACAACAAAGTGATTGCCGCCACCAGTGGTGGTAAACAACAACAGCAACAACAAGTGTTACCGAAATTTGGTATCAATTTTAGTACAATTGATAAAGAGTTTACCGCCGATAGCAGTGGCATCGTTGACAATACTTTGACCACAAAAGAGTCGATGAAAAGAAAGCTGGAGAAGTTGGTTGTCGTCAAGAAAGTGGCCAAAACTACTAATACTACTACTACTACTACTGATGTTAATGTATTGGCCAGTAATACAGCAATAGGACAGTCGACTAGTAGTAGTAATAATATTAATAATAATACATCAAAAAGTTTGCTAAATTTGTGTGCATATTCATCATCAGATGATAGCAATTAATAACATTAATTGTAATTTTTCTTATCTATATATATATATCATTTAAATAAATTTAATGTTTGTCTATTTATAATAAAATTAATAATAAAATTAATAATAAAATTAATTACTAAAACAAAAATTAAATCAATTACCGATAATCTTAATCATTGATCCGATGATGTCAATCATGCAATCAATGCAATGGACAATAATGTCATACTATATATATATATATATATATATATATATATATATATATATATTGATTACAATTGATACCATGCATTAAATCATACCAACTGGTCATCATTGGGATCGGTATTATTATTATCATTATCTTCAGTAAACTTGTAATCCAACACTAGCTTACAAATAGTAAGTATCGTAATATTAAAAATGTTTAAAAAAATATTAATAAAATTATTGTTAGTAATTTAAAAAAAAAAAATAAAATAACTAATTTAAGTTTAGTATATTAAAAATAATAACTATACACATATTAATAAATATAAAAATAGTTATTATTATAAAGTTATTATAGTTAAGTATTTATTATAAATAATATATATTTTAAAAAGTTTTAAATATATATATATATAAATCAATATTATTCAATCAACAATTATTAATTATCCTAAAACAATAGTAATTAAATTGTACACAAAATTAATTAGTTAATGAAAGAAAATTTATTATTATTTTTTTTCTTATAATTACAGTTATTGTATTTAATAGTTAAATGAATTTAATTATATTAATTAAATTTTACAAAAAAAAAATATTTTGATATAAAATATTAGAAAAATAATTTTGAAAATATTATAAATTATTACACAATAATAACTGTTTTATAAAACTATTAGCCAATAATTATCATTATTATTATTGTCCATCAATTGACACCTATTTACCTCCCTATTTAATAAAGTAAAAAAAAATAATAATAATAAAATTTAAAAAAATAAATAATAATTTTTTTAGATTGCTTAATTAATTTTTATATAAAAAAATATACTTTTGAAACAATTAAATTAAAGACAATAAATAAATTATTTTTTTTTTTAAATAAGTAAATATAGTATATCTAATATTTTTTTGGGTAGATATGGTTGTTTTTGGGTGGGTTAGTGGGGTGGAGGGTGGGGTGGGGTGGGTTAGTGTGTGTGTGTGTGTGATAGATAGCTAAAATGTTAGTTTTTCCCCACCTCCACCCCCACCCAGAAACTAAATTTTTTTTGTTAACCCTAGTTGACTATCAATAGTATCTAATATACTGTATATATATATATATATATATCTAATATATGTTTTTTTGTGTATATAAATGAAAATATAACATACAAATTGATAGCATTCACATTTACCATAGCCATCATATTCATTGGACAGTCCTCTACAGCACCGGGATTCAGTGTATCTGCCATTTTCATACGCACCACTAGTTTGATCACATTTTTCTTTATGTTTAGCGCATACTGTTTAATAATAATTATCAATTGTAATTAATTATATAATATATAATTTAATTAAATTTTATATTATATTATATTGAATATAGTATATTATATTAAATATAGAATAATGTAATTAAAAAAAATAAATATAAAATTAAAAATATTTTGTGCCTGTATAATATTTTTTTTTGTGCTAATTTTAAAAATCAATAAAATTTTTGTTATATATTATTATTATTATTATTATTATTTTAATAATTATTACGATTGATTACCTGGTCGTATAACTATTGGTAGTTTGCAATAACCAAATATTTTATTATATAATATATCACATCTATTACCGTCACAACAATCCTTATTATTATAACACCTCTCATCCAGTTTACGACAACCTTAATATATATATTGATAAACATATTAATTAGATTTTACTTAATTTTTCTTATAATTTTTAAAAATATATTATTTTTTGTTTAATAATTTATATTATTATTATTATGAATAATAACTTATTTATAAAATTAATTTAATTTTAATATATTTATACTATATATATATATATAATTTAATGAAACAAAATTTAAACTAAAAAAAATTAATATTAATAATAGTAAACAATAAATTTTAAACAATTTTTAATAACAAAATCTAAATACAGTATTATTTATTTATTGTAAAATTTAAGATTAAATATTTTAAAAAACAATAACTAAAAATAAAAAAAAGTCTACTATACCCTGTACATTAGTAGCAATCATCATAGTTACCATCAATAAAATTAGCCAGTACATTTTGTTGTTGTTGTTGTTAGTTGACTGATACATTTTTTTTATCTATATTTAGTATTAATATTATTAGTATATTATAATATAAGACAAATAATTTTTTTTTATCAAATCTTATCAATTATAATAAATTTTGAATTAATTTTTTATATATTAAACTTACACTCTATTTATATGATTTTGTTTTTTTTTTGGCTAAACTATTAATTTTTTGTCTACTAATCAATAGTTTATTAAACTTTATAATTAATTTGTTTTTTGTAAGTAATTTTTAAGATATTAAACTTAATATAAATTATTTATGTTTTTAAGTTATTTTTTTATTGTGATTTATTATTAATTATTATTAACTAGAGTTGAATATTATAATAAAAATAAAACAAAATTATTAGATTTTTAACTTTTAAATTCAATATTAAAATGAGCCAGCAATTACCAATTAATAGTATAGAATTTTTTGTTAATATTATTATTTATTTATTATTATTTTTTTTAAAAAATGACATTTATTATAATTATTAGATTATTTAACTTTTTTTTACAAACAAAATTTATTAATTATTCTTATGAATAATTTACTATTTTTATACATATATATTGATATTTATTTATATTTGCATTAAGTATGAGTTATTAATTTACAACTTATAACAATTAGATATAAAATTTTATTAAATATTATTTTAATTTTATTTTTTGTTGTTGTATTTATTTGCTTAACAACTAATGTTTACTATAACTATAATAACATTAATTTAGTTAATTAGTACTCATAATAATGATTACTATACATAATAATAATAATCTAAAGTATATTATATTAAATAATATTTAAATAATATTTTTTAATAAATATTTACATTTATAAATATGTAAATATTTTCCTATTAAGATTTATTTATTACTATAGAATTTTTATTTAATAAATTAAATATCATATAAATTATACTAATAATAAAAAATTATTGATTTTTTTTACCTTTTATTTAAATGAGCCAGCAAATTATATAATGTATAAAGTGATTAATTGTATATTTTGTTTTTTTTATAATTATTAATGTAATTTAATATTAGTTTGGATAATTTATAAATATTTCAATTAAAATGTGTAATAATAATTATAATAAAAATTTTTAATTAGAGTATTTAAAAGATTTTAAAATCATTAATTAAAATATAATAACTATTTAAGACACTTAAATAAAATAATTTTAAATATTGAAAATAAATAATATAAAAAAACATTATTATTAAAAAAACATAACACTATTACTAATTAAAATTTACATAATTTATTAAATATATACATATTTTTAAGTCTAACTTTATGTTTAATATTTTTCAAGTATAATTGTTTAGTCACTTTATTATTTAAATTATTATTTCAACAATATTATATACAGTATATTTAATATAAAAACCACCTAGATACATTTACATTATTTATTATTATGCAATAAATAAAAAATTAATTAATAAAATCAGATAAAGTTTAGTTGTACATCAAAAAACTTAATGATATAATTAAATATAATGTAAAAATATAAATATTATTAATTTTTTTTAATTAATATTATAAAAAAATTTTAAGTAATTATTATTTATTACATATAAAATATATATATAGAGTATTTTTTTAAAAAACTTATAATTAATTTCAAAATAAACTAATAAATCTAAGATTACTTATACGTTATACTTATATTATAAAACATTAAATTTAGTAAAAAGTAATTGAAATTTCAAATAAATTTTTCAACAACAAAAAAATAATTAAATATCAAATAATTGATTTAATCATTTCGATGGCAAACATTAGTAAACTGATTGGCAATAATGTCATATACGGACCAATTGATACACGCATTGAATCCAAACCAACCATATATTGGTCATCAATGGGATCGATAGTATCCATCATTAGATCGTTTAGTGTTATATTTAACTGAATTAATAATAGCTGTGAATAGTTGTCGCACCAAAATTCATATAAACCCGACTCATGTGACTGTATTATCCTATTTATAGTAGAGTTTTATTATTATTATTATTACGATAATTGTATTTTAATCCAAATAACAAACAAACAAACAAACAAATTAATAACTATTTAATAATTTTTATATATTATAAATTATATATATATATATACTGTAAAATTTAATAATGTTGAAAAAATAGTATACAATATATACAGTATATATATATATATTTATAATTTAAATATATATAATATATTTCGAAAAAAAATAATAGTTTAAATAATAATAACAATACTTTATAACTATATATATATATATATATATCATATGTATATATATATACAAAATAGTTACTATTAATTTAGTTTTTTATATTGATATTATAAATTATATTACTTAAAATCACACACATATATATAGTATATAAAATTAGTTGAAAATTAGTATTTTAGGAGTATTTTGTTAAAACAAAAAAAACTAATTAATAATAATAACATACAGATTACGATAGTTTCGGTAAAGCCATTGATCGGTTAGCAGTTGACGGCTAATCAGTTGTCCCCAACACTGTTCATGATATGCATCGACTGATTGATATAAATAGTGATACTTTTTTGCAACTATACTAAAGAAACCGATTTTTTCGTATTGCATAACATAGGCTATCATCGATCGGCCGCCGGTTCGGCTTAAATCGGACAGTCCTTCCGATAGACCAATACGGTAGTCGTCCATCGAGTCTTTCATTGGTTGAAATTGTTTTTCCGGTAGCGATCTTAGGGCACGATTTAGTA